GGGGCCTGGGACCCAGACAGAACCACTACCACCTGCCGAGCCTGGTACCCCACGAACGACAGCTGTGGAGAGAAAGAGAGATACAGGGGGAAACCAACCATGAGACAGGCTGACAGAGGGAGATTCAACACATCGGACAAGGTATAATATAATTGAAGTGCTTATTAATTCAAATAATAGAGCCATACTAAAGAGGGATGAGGCAGCAGTATTCTCAGGATCCAGCCTACAGTCAGGAAGTGCTCTAGAGATGGAGTTCGGCTGGCCTGCAGAAACAGAGTTCATCATTAGGCTACATACTGTACAGTTAATATAGTATACTGGTATACTGTATATTAGCATGCTTAGGGTGTGGGAGTTTCTTCCATTGCCTGCTGTGAAGGGCACTCACCTCCTGACAGAGCACCACCAGTTCAAACAGCAGAGAGCACGCTGCATCCAGGTAGTCCTCTAACAGGACCTGCAGCTGAGAGACAAGTTGTAATGGGAATATTTAAGATGAATAAAGTTCATATTTAATGCGGAGTGATTAAGACAATGCTTAGCATATTTATATATTTTCCCTTTCTGTAATATACATGATTTCCGGTGTTCTGTTTGTACAAGATGTGGGTTGATGGTCACTAGACTTCAATGTTATGGATTGTTGTCTTATCTGTTGATAGTGTTTGACACCAGACTGGATGTACAAGGGCCGAGGACACTGATTATTCACTGTTGTGTGGTATTGATGACATTCTGCTGAACACTGTGTGATTCTATAGCACAAAGTCACTGGCCTTTTGTTTTGACTTCCTGCAAGCCTCTTGGGCTGATGTTTACAGAACAGTTGTCTGCTGAATAGGATACTAGGGGCTTCTCAGAGAAGGCCAGTTAGACATTTTCTCTGCTTCTGGGCTGGAGGTGTTTCCCTGTTGCAACTTGTAATAAACCAGATAGGTTTTTGATTTACTTTACTGTTCTTCTCATTTGTTCACCTGGAAATTCCTATTACACAAGTCATATAAACATATACACAACCAAACAAAATGTTAAAGTCCAACCAATTATATTCAGGGCCCACACTCACCTCTGTATGTGGGGGAGAGCCCTGTCTTGAGTCTGGGGAGACGCTCCACGATCCCTGGGTCTGGCTCTGGGCCTGCAGCTCTGGGTCACACACCAACGCTAGTAACAGCCTGGCTGTCAGGGCACCTCTGCAGACAGAGACAACACAGTCTCCTGTTAGGTATACTCCTATGATATCAAGAAAGAAAGAAAGAAAGAAAGAAAGAAAGAAAGAAAGAAAGAAAGAAAGAAAGAAAGAAAGAAAGAAAGAAAGAAAGAAAGAAAGAAAGAAAGAACGAGAGAGAGAGAAGGAAGGAGAGAGAATGTGTGTGTGTACTCACTGCTTGGTCGTAAGCATGTTGAGTCGAGCCGGCTCGATCTCTGTCTCTCTGAACATCAAGGCCAGGGTCTGAGCGATCAGAGTACACAGCCTGGACACAGGAGACAAAGTGGGTTACGGTCAGAGATAAACCCATTTTGAGAACAGGTATGATGGAGTTTAACCTTTATATTCCTGACCACAGGAGGGGGCCAGTGAGACTTGTCACCTGTCACCCAACCCGACCTCCGTGACAGTGTAGTAGTGACACAGAGATCCACATTTAACCCATAATCTAGTTGCATAAAGACAAAGCTGCTTAAAACCCCCAAAGAAAACCCAGGGGGGTTCCTTAGTTAATCCACACTCAGGTGTTTCACAGTGGTACTCTACTTAATCTGTTCAAGTGATTGTGGTGATGTTATAAAAGATAAGAGGTAGTCTTAACCAGGTGTTAACCCAGGATCCCTGTAGTCACTCAAAGTAGGCTGTCAGCTTTGTGCTCACACACACACACACACACACACACACGCAGTGTCACTCACAGTAGGCTGTCTGCTGTGTTGGTCTCCGGCCTCTGACAGCTCTGCAGGGAGTCTTCCAGCATCCGCACCAGGAACGGAAACATGTCATTGGACTAACACACACACACATACACACACAGTTATGTATGGAGAAAGCTGTACACACACAGTCACAGAAACAAACACACACACACACACAAATATCGATGTGATCTCACCCTCCAGAAGAGTTTCCTTAGGGTGATGCTGCGGTGTGCTGCGGTGCGGAGCTCTTGAAGGAGCAGATATATGCCTTCCAGACTGATGCCCTCCTGAAGCAACTCACCACTCAGCTGGCGGAACAGGTGGGCTGTACGCTCCCAACTACACACCGACAGGGGAGTGAATGAATGACCATGGAACAATATGTTGAAACAGTATCTAAAGATGGGAAACTATCAACTGGGGAACAGTATCTGATGGAGGAACAGAATCAGGGTTGTGTTCATTAGGGCAACAAAACAAGCATTTCTTAATGGACAAGTTCAGGTAGTACCTCCCCATTTTGATCAGTTTCCTTCCGTTTTGTGTCAACTGAACATGACCCTGATGGGAACAGCAACAGCATCTGAACGGGGAACAGTATTTGAAAGTACCTAATGGGGGGTTGTTTCTGTGGGGAGGTGTTCAACATGACATTGCATCTCCTTCTGTAGAGGGGGTCCAACAGCAACGTCGACCTCTGGAGAAAAAACAACATACACGTTATTACAACATTATAACACACACACACACACACACACACACACAGGGAATGACTCACTATAATGTAACTGTTCCAGGAGCTTTGCAGGTGCAGGTAGATCCGAGACGTAGGTGACACAGCGTACAGATGCAGCTCCGCCTCTCTCTCTCCTCCCTCCTCTTCATCCTTCTCTCCATCCCTCTCTCTGACCACCCTCTCTCTCTTCAGGAGGCGAGCTAGCACTGAGCCTCTCCTCCTGGGCACCAAAGGGGCCTCCGGGGGTCTCTGGGTCCGGTCACACGGGGGGGAGGGAGAGAGAGAGGGAGAGACGGGTGACAGGGGGGAACGGGGGGAGTGGAGGGAGAGGGCTGGGGAAATTGGGTTGGGTAGAGGGCGAGGCTGGGTCAGTCTTAGACCCTGTCTCTGACCAAGGGTTTCAGGGTTAGGGCAGGAGGCTGAGCGTGTGGTCTTCAGCCTGAGCACCTCCTCTTCCTCCTCCTCCTCCTCCCTGTTCCTACTGGGGAGACAGAGCGATGGTACAGTCAGTGTGACTGTGTCAGAAACACACCCACACACACACCTTACCTAGTCAAACACACACACAATTTGAACCACATTACACAACTCAGAGTAAGTTGAACTTTGGTAACATCGTGGCTCGTGGCAGGACAACAAGGTAATGCTGTGATAGCCCACCAGGGGGCAGAGAGAGAGGGCAGTGAGGAGGGAGGATATTCCCCTGGCACAGAGAAACAGCTATCTAATCCTGACCTGGAACCTTGACAAGGTCACTCACTCAGTAAGCCTGTCTCTCTCTCTCTCTCTCTCTCTCTCTCTCTATCTGCCCTTCACTTCTTCTCTCTCTTCTCCCTCCCTTCTCCTCTCATTCCTTCAACTCTTTTCGAAATCCCCACTGAGAGGAGGAGGAAGAGATAGAGGAGGGTTTCTTTCCATGTGGATATCTTTCCATGTGGAGATTTACTGTCATGATCCTTAGAGGAAAACCCAATTATTTAAAGAGCCTGTGTCTATACAGTAGGATCTTCATTTGAGCCAGTTTGCTACCGCAGGCAAATTATCCTGCAGCAACAGGACATTTTTATTATTATGTGTTTTATAATTAATGGACATTTTTGTAGGGGTTAATACATTTTTTGTAAGGGAAAATCAAGTCTGAAATTTCAAAATGGAAATTACAAACTTCAGGAGCGATGCAGTGCCTTAGACTGCTGCGCCACTCTGGATTTTTAAACCTCAAATACTGTACACGCTTTACATTTTCTGCATTGCATCTGTATTTGGTTCCTTTGTCTGAGTGCTACAATACACTGTTAGCCGTTTTTGTAATTTTATCAGTAACTTACAGTATTAATCAACAGTATGATACTGTATAAACTGAATACAGTAGATTATCGCAGAACGCACAGTAAAATACAGTACATTTGTTTTACAGCACACTAAGACCTTTCTGTAATTTCAACAGTAATACACTATCAAATGCACAGTAAAATACCGTAAATGAGTTTTACAGTATTAATTATGGTGCATTGTGGGAAAATGTTGTGGGCAGGGAAAGAGTCTCTGGCTCATTAACATATTTTAAGGTGTGCCTTGTATGAGGCTATATTTGTTGCACCCGTGAGTGAGAATGCTGTACCCCACAGAATACGGTAATATACTGTATTTTAGGAATTCTACAAACCTTGTCCTGAAACTCTACAGTAACTTACTGGCAAATTGCTGCCAGTAATTTACTGTAATTCAGAACACAGTACCATACTGCATTTTTGGAGTGCCAAAAACCTTTTGAATACTAGTTTGTATGCATTAACTTATTTTGAGGCTTGTACTGTAAGGGGCTATATTTGTTGCACCCGTTAGTGAGAGTGCTGTACCAATTTAAGTGATATGTGGTAGTGGTTCCCTAACAATTACATTTAAGGGACAGATCAGAGTGGCAGCCAGTCTCAAATCTTTAATGGTTGAGTGGCTATAAACGTCATTTTGGTCTGTTTTGCCCTGTAGTCACTGTCAGTTTAGAAGCCTTTGTTAAGGCCTAAAGTGCAAGTGATATAAAACATCAAATATCACTTGGTATGCTTGAATAATTATGTAATTAAATATACACTATTAGCAATTTCTGATTATATTTTCAATACAATTCAACAATATAGTACTGTATTGCTGTTTTGCTATATATATCTACTGCAGCATACTGTAAATGATGGAGCATTGTGGAGAAATATTGTGGGAGGAGAAAGAATCACTGGCTCATTAGCATATTTTAGGCATGCCTTGTATGTGGCAGTATTTGTTGCACCTGTTAGTGAGAGCATCGTACCAATTTAAGTGATATGTGGTAGAAGTTCCCTAACAATTAAATGTATATAGCGAAGAGATCAAAGTGGTAGCTGGTCTTAAACCTTTTAATGGTTGAATATTTATCCATGTCCATTTTATCTGTTTTCCCTGTCATCCCGGCCAGTTTGGAAGCCTTTGTTTAGGCCTCTAGAAGTGCAAGTGATATAACAGCTAATATCCATTAATATGCTATAATATGCAAATGTCTACAGCCAACCTGCTTGCTCTAATCCCTTGTAATTACAGTTAAATATTGTATTAAGAATTTTCCAACAGTTTAATAGTCACTTTTACTGTATTGTACTCTGTTTCATTGCTCTGGCATGAAGTTACCGTGAATATGTCAGCAATATATTGTTGCGATCAAGAGATAGTCAGAGATATATCATGATTATTATTATTTTGACGACCAAGCAGTGGCGGCTCCTGAAAAAATTCTCAGGAGGGGCAATTTTTCTGATGATTTAGGTGACCTACACACATTTTTAAAAAGATATGTCCAGCAACAACATGAAGACAGGGGCAGCATATAAGTCAATACCAGAAGCATTTATTGACTGATCTCAAAAGTGTTGGCTTACAAAAGCAAAATAAGTTATCACAGTAAAAATAATCAAGGGTGTTCTTTCACATTCCTCAACACTGCATAAACAATATGTATGGCTTTGTAAAAATGAACAACCATATTCTGGCCAATTGTATAGATTTGTAAATATGAACAACCATATTCTGGCCAATTGTATAGATTTGTAAAAATGAACATGAACAGATTTTTTATTTTTTTGAATGGCAGTACCTTTCAAACATGTCTCCTTGCAGTAAGGTAGCACTCACAAGGTGGCCAGAGAAAGAGAACCTTTCTTTGGTGTGATCCAGGATGGTGTTGCAGACCTCTTCAGACAGCCTCTGCTTCTCCTCTTCTCTCAAAGCTGTTCTGGGTCTTTTGGCTCCTGTTGCTTCTTGCAGCTGCTGTTGAGAGGAGTCCCTGAAGGCAAACAGACCAATGTGTTTGTTGCCTTTGTACAGTATTGTTGTCTATGTGATGCACAGGTATATGCAATGTATCCATGTATAGTACAAATACTTCAGTTCCACTTAAAATGGGCAGGGATGCATAAAGTCTTTAGTGTTTAAGTTAGCCTTTGTGTCTCACATAGCCTGGATGTTCAGCACAGTATACAGTGGTGCTCATAAGCTTATGATCCCATGCTAAAGTTGACTAAAAAGAGGAATAAAAAAGAAAAGAAAATTGGTGTCCTTAAAGGTTGGATTTTCCAACTTTTTTAATTAAGTCATTAAGATCAATTTCCAAAAGATGATTTTTTTATTCCTCTTTTTAGTCAGCTTTAGAATGTGTTCATACACTTATGAGCACCACTGTACAGTACACATAGTATATAAAATAAGATAGATTACACCACTGGCCATATATAATGACAATAATGCAATTTCAAACACAAATGCAGTCTCCTTTCATGCATACATTTTCAAATAAAGCTCTGCTTTGAGAAAGATCGAATGATATTGTTTAATCTTTATCTTACCTTATGGCCTGCACACTGCTTGCGAAGCTGTCGAGGGCACGTTTGATAAAGACAGCATCGATGTCCTTATTCTGTAGCTTCTGGTACGGTGGGCTGGTCAAATGAACCCAATGAACCCGTCCGGATGGCTTCAAAACATTCTATGAGGTCGTCTCGATTCTCGTAGACAGTGTTCACGACTCTGCTGTTGCTAACCTCATCGTTGTGGCGGCGGACAGCTAGCCTGTATCCCTCATCCAGTTGAGTGGCAATATTCACTCTCACCAAAGCAGACAATCTCAAACAGCTATCAATGTGGGTCTTTGACAGCTCATTTTTCTTAATCTTTTCTGAAAGATGGTGCATGTCGGTTACACCAGTCGCTGTCCAAGCGTTGCTGTCTGCCGTTCATGGTTACGTTACGTTACGTATGACGAAAGCGCGTAAGTGCAAGCCCTCAGACACCCATAGAGAATGTATTGAAAGCTCAGAAATTTGAAAAAAAAATATTTTACATTAGAGGCTATGAGAGACTTCTGGGCGATTTTCAACCTGACTGAAATCGCCCCAAAACGGGCGGGGACATTTGAAGCACGACTTTAGCCTGATTGGACATTTAGTGGCTGGCAGATCAGACGTGAACACTGAACTACTGTTGCCATGATATAATTGATTAGAAAAAAAATCCCTTCCTTTTCCCGTTTGGCAGTGCGTCGCCCATATCGCCCTATTGAACACACCGCCCATGGACCAATGTATCCTTAACTACAACAACATTTTCAGTAACGATTGCAGATTTTTTTTTACTTGCTATGACTGTGATATACAGTACCAGTCAAAGGTTTGGACACACCTACTCATTCAAGAGTTTCTTTATTTTTCACTATTTTCTACATTGTAGAATAATAGTGAAGACATCAAAACTATGAAATAACACATATGGAATCATGTAGTAACCAAGAAAGTGTTAAACAAATCAAAATTGTATTTGAGATTCTTCAAATAGCCACCCTTTGCCTTGATGACAGCTTTGCACACTCTTGGCATTCTCTCAACCAGCTTCACCTGGAATGCTTTTCCAACAGTCTTGAAGGACTTCCCACATATGCTGAGCACTTGTTGGCTGCTTTTCCTTCACTCTTCCATCCGACTCATCCCATACCATCTTAATTGGGTTGAGGTCAGGGGATTGTGGAGGCCAGGTCATCTGATGCAGCACTACATCACTCTCCTTCTTGGTAAAATAGCCCTTACACAGCCTGGAGGTGTGTTGGGTCATTGTCCTGTTGAATAACAAATGATAGTCCCACTAAGCCCAAACCAGATGGGATGGCGTATCGCTGCAGAATGCTGTAGTAGCCATGCTGCTTAAAAGTGTGCCTTGAATTCTAAATAAATCACAGACAGTGTCACCAGCAAAGCACCCCCACACCATAACACCTCCTCCTCCATACTTTATGATGGAAAATACACATGCGGAGATCATCCGTTCACCCACACCGCATCTCACAAAGCCACGGCGATTGGAACCAAAAATCTCAAATTTGGACTCCAGACCAAAGGACAAATTTCCACCGGTCTAATGTCCATTGCTCGTGTTTCTTGCCCCAAGCAATTCTCTTCTTCTTATTGGTGACCTTTAGTAGTTGTTTCTTTGCAGCAATTCGACCATGAAGGTCTGATTCACACAGTCTCCTCTGAACAGTTGATGTTGACATGTGTCTGTTACTTGAACTATGTGAAGCATTTATTTGGGCTGCAATTCCTGAGGCTGGTAACTCTAATGAACTTATCCTCTGCAGCAGAGGTAACTCTGGGTCTTCCATTCCTGTGGCGGTCCTCATGAAAGCCAGTTTCATCATAGCGCTTGATGGTTTTTGCGACTGCACTTGAAGAAACGTTCAAAGTTCTTGAAACGTTCCGTATTGACTGACCTTCATGTCTTAAAGTAATGATGGACTGTCGTTTCTCTTTGCTTATTTGAGCTGTTCTTGCCATAATATGGACTTGGTCTTTTACCAAATAGAGCTATCTTCTGTATACGCCCCCTACCTTGTCACAACACAACTGATTGGCTCAAACGCATTAAGGAGGAAAGAAATTCCACAAATTAACTTTTAAGAAGGCACACCTGTTAATTGAAATGCATTCCAGTTGACCACCTCATGAAGCTGGTTGAGAGAATGCCAAGTGTGTGCAAAGCTGTGGCTACTTTGAAGTATCTAAAACATATTTTGATTTGTTTAACACTTTTTTGGTTACTACATGATACCATATGTATTATTTCATAGTTTTGATGTCTTCACTACTATTCTACAATGTAGAAAATAGTACAAATAAAGAAAACCTCTTGAATGAGTAGGTGTGTCCAAACTTTTGACTGGTACTGTATGTTATTTTTTTATCAACCTTGGTTGAATGCAGTGATTGTACGTTTCTAAGGACAAGAGCGCCCACTAAATGACCTAAATGAAAACTTGCAAAGAACACTGGGTAATATATCAATGCATGGGTAATTCCAGTAATAAACTGTAAATTAGATTACAGTAAAACTTTCGGTAACATAAAATTGATTACAGTAGCTGTACTGTAAAATGAATTACAGTAACTTACTGGCTGGCCAATTGCTGCCAGTAAGTTACTGTACATTTTACGGGAAATGTTTTACAGTGTAGGCTTGGGGCATCATGTGTAGTGACACACATAGTCTACTAAGACTTCCTTGCCTTTAACTTCCATCAACTAGATCAGCTTAATATTGCAGATAGATTGTAACTTCCATCAATGTAATTGTCTGCATCACTTCCAATCCCCCATATATATATATATATATATATATATATATATATATATATATATATATATATATATATATATATATATATATACATATATACATACACACATACATACACACATATTTATATATATATTTATATATATATATATATATATATATATATATATATATATATATATATATATATATATATATACACACATATACATACACATACATATCCTTTAAAAATATATATATATTCCCCTTTATTACTTTCCAACCCCACCACCCTTTCCCTACATGGAGTAAACTAGTGAACAACAATGCTTAGGCCTCTACTTCCAGCTTATACCGACTATCTACATTTTATGGACACAGTCAATTTTACAATAATTATATTTTGTTTGTTTTTTCTCCTGAACTTCCTCTACTCTCAACCTGTCCGATCATTTTCATGATGTCCATCCGGTTTGCTTCTATATGCCATATCTTTCTAACGGTGCTCTTTCACAAAAGCTCCCAACCTACAACCTATATACTTATTAAGTATGCTTACAGTATGCTTACATTATTAGTCATCTTGTTATTATTTGTTGTTAGTTGTTATTAGTCCCATCCTTCAATTCCATTCAACACCTCCCATCTATCTTTTAACATCATCCATATAGGATTTCTATTTGCCATATATATTTCAACCGTACTGTGATGTTTTACAAAAGTTCTGAACCTTTCTATTCTCATTGTTTCTACAGATTGTGAATTGAAAATAAACATTTTTGCTAAAAGTATTATTATGTTATTGATCGATTGACTATGACTTTTCAGATCACCCAGTAATGCTATCTGCAAGGTTAGCTCCAGGTAAATATTGCAATCCTTTAGCCATTCCTGGACCTGTGTCCAAAAACAAGCTACAAATGGACAGTACCAAAATAAATGATCTAATGATTCTGTCTCTTCGCAGCAAAATCTGCAGAGCTGGGAAGATTGTATCCCCCATATAAATAACATTATATTGGTAGCAAGAATTTTATATAATAATTTCAATTGAAAGATTCTAAGTTTTGAATGCGGTGTCGTTTTGCGTATCAGTTCATAGCTGATAGCTGCTCCTTCATGGCTGTTACCTCTTCTGATGATTACTGACACTGTTCAGAGACTGTCTCACAGCTCAGCGGATGTGTGTGTGTGTTAATGACCTCCCAGGGGACAGTGTGTGTGACAGAGACCTTCCCAGAGTTAGATGGAGACACCCAGAGGCACAGGAAGACGTTTATGCACTGAGCTAGTTAGGACACATAAGAGACCATTCCACATGCACACTGGTTCTGGTTGTCCTCTGTGGATCAAGGACAGGGAGAGAGCACTCACATGTGCATGGACACACACACACAAATGAACAAACACACACTGCTCAGACAAACAGCACCTTTTAGTAGGTGTTTTACTGCACTAGTAGGGTTTTTTGTACCCTAGCAACGGGTGAATGACGTCAGAGTACCTCACCCACTTCCTCACATTTCTAAGCACTTAGGATCTGCTTGTCTGTTATGTTAATTTTAGACACACACACACACACACACACGCCTACATCCACATTGTTGGGAATGGGCTCGTAAGTAAGCATTTCACAGTAAAGTCTACACCTGTTGTATTCGGTGCATGTGACCAATAAAATTGGATTTGATTTGAGAATCACTGGATGTGTGTGTGGCTGTGCTGAATGTTGATATAGTTCATATTATTTCTCTCTATTTGTGTATACAGTATGCGTCTGTACTGTATGTTGTGGATGCTGGCCTTTAAATGTGTATCTGTACCTGAATGTGACGTATTTTGTGTTATGCATGTATGACCTAAATTGTTGAGCATGTGTAAAAGCTGAGAACCTGATCTGAAACTCTCTACTCTCTCCTCCGGTGCACATTAAACAGTTATGAGCCACATGAGCACCCTGAGCACCCCACCAAGCAGCCTGTAGCAAGCAGCCTGGAGAGCCTGAAGTAGCCTGCCTCCTCTTAGCAGCCACACTCACATTACACCCTGCAGGACCAACCTGGCCTCTATCCCTGCTCCAACTCCTTCAAAACCTCCAACAATATCTCCACCCTATACTCCCCCTCTCTTCCCTGTACTCCCCCTCTCCAAGCCCCCTACATTCCCCTGCAATGGGAGTCAGGGAGACAGACCTGAGAGGACAACCTAATACTGTCACCCATCCCTGTAAAACACAGCTTTTGTCCTTCAGCAAGGATAGGAGAGAGAGAGAGAGAGGGAGAGAGAGGGGAATGTCAGAGAGCATATCTGAAACAGATAAGACACACCTCTTCACACAGGCTTACCCGGATTCACTGTTGTCTTAGCTTTTATCCCTAGTCTAGTTCACTTCCCAGATTAGTCTGTTATCATGTTTAGTGTTTTCCCTGGTTAGTATATTCTTATGTTTAGTGTACTTTTATATACTTACTTATTTTAATGTGTGATTTTATTGCTTATTTTTTTAACTTCCTGATTACCTGTCCATGTAAAGTGACTTTAATTATAATGATTATTAACTTCTCACAATTATAGGACAACAGACAGCTGCTGCTAGATTGTTGGCATAACAATCTTGAAATATTGATCCAGTTCCTAAGCAACTGGTGCTACATACAGAGACACACCCATCCACAAGAGAATGGCAGCAGGCTAACCACCGAACATACAGTGCCTTTAGAAAGTATTCTCACCCCTTGACTTTTTATACATTTAGTTATGTTACAAAGTGGGATACATTTTATTTAATTGTCCTTTTTTGTCAATGATCCACACACAATACTCTGTAATGTAAAAGTGGAAGAACATTTGAACAATTTAAATTAAATGAACATAAAACACTAATATATCTTGATTAGATAAGTATTCAACCCCCTGAGTCAATACATGTTAGAATCACCTTTGGCAGCGATTACAGCTGTGAGTGTTTTGGGGTAAGTCTCTAAGAGCATGAATGGCATACCTGGATTGTACAATATTTGCCCATTATTCTTTTTTAAATTCTTCAAGCTCTGTCAAGTTGGCTGTTGATCATTGCTAGACAACCATTTTCAAGTCTTGCCATAGATTTTCAAGCTGATTTAAGTTAAAACTGTAACTAGGCCACTCAGGAACATTCGATGTCGTCTTGATAAGCAACTCCAGTGTATATTTGACCTTGTGTTTTAGGTTATTGTCCTGCTGAAAGGTGAATTTGTTTCCCAGTGTCTGTTGGAAAGCAGACTGAACCATATTTTCCTCTAGGATTTTGCCTATGCTTAGCTCTATTCCATTTATTTTAATTTCAAAAAACTACCTAGTCCTTGCCGATGACAAGCATAACCATAACATGATGCAGCCACCACCATGCTTGAAAATATGAAGAGTGGTACTCAGTGATGTGTTGTGTTGGATTTTCCCCAAACATAATGCTTTGTATTCAGGACAAAAGCGTAATTGCAAAAAGGTGTATTCAGTTCTGCTTCTTGACAGACTGACTGTCTCCTCTAACAGTAGGATGATGGGTTCTCTCTGTATAATGTGGAAAAGGCCCTATAGCCAGGGTCAGCCTGGAAGACAGAGATAAGGCCATTTCAAAGGGGACGGTAAGGCAGGGGACTGAATGGGACTGAATGGGGCTGAAGAGCATCCTGGCTGTTAAATGGGAATGGAGAGCAGGTCTCACCTCATGGGGACAGGTGAGACGTTCCACCCGTCTCTATCTGGGGGTTCTGAGCGGGTTGACAGGAGAGTACCACCAATACCTGGAGAGAGAAAGAGGGGGAGAGAGGTGTGTGAGAGAGAGAGAGAGCGCAGTGGGAGGAGAAAGGAGTAGGGGAAGAGTGAGGGGGACAGAGAGACAGAGACAGGGGAGAAGGATATAGAGAGGTTTATGAGAGCACTCTATGTAATTGGAAGCCCTAACATTTATGAGACCCGGTAATTTATATTTAACTGGGAAACAGTTGCAGAATGGGCAGAATGAGAGAGAGAGAGGAAGGTGGACTGAAAAAGAAAGAGGAAGGCAGATGCTGGGCCAATTGTGCATCGCCTCACGGGTCTACCGGTCGCAGCCGGCTGCAACACAACCTGGGATCGAACCCGGGTCTGTAGTGACGCCTCAAGCACTATGATGCAGTGCCTTAGACCGCAGCGCCACTCGGGAGGCCTCTTCTATCCTTTTCAATGGACGGACCAGGAGGCAGTAACAGTGGCTTGACCATGGCTGGTGCTGCTTTTCTGGTCCAGCGGAAATGCCTGAAGGACTGGGGAAGACGGAAGGGTAACAGTGGCTTGACCGTGGCCCGACCACCTGGAACCACCCCCCAGCATCCAGAATGAGCAACAGAGCAGCTGCCTGAGGAGGAGATGACGGACTGTAGGCCTTGAGGCGAGTAGAGTGCTGCCGAGGCGAGCCTTACTCCCTCTACCCTAGGTCTGTGGCCCTCCTCCCCGCTTTTCTTTTTTCCCCAGCTGCCCTCCTTAGGCCAACACCAACCAGACCAGGACCAGCATACCGCCAACCACCCGGAGCAGACCAAACAGCATCACCACCAGAACCAGCAGCGAGGAGGAAGGACCAAAGACACCAACCTATGCCTGGTGCGAGCAGACCACAGGGGTGTCCCTCCATTGACCTACGGGTCACGGGCTTCCAGGTGTGTCCTTCCTTCCTCTGCAGGACCAGAACTGCCTGGTGAAACCCCCAGGGCCACAGGAATAATTTGAAGCCAGTTTCAAGACCCCCCAGTTACTAGAACAGTTTTGGTTCAAAGATACAGAACTGTTTAACAAACTCTGAGCATACCCCCTCTCCAACACAGAATCCAAGGTAGTTACAGTACAGTTTCACAATGAATTCATTCAGGACTAAATTTGGAGGACTCTGTGTATTTTGAAAGATGAGACATTGAGGATTATGATAAATACCGCTTTGATGTCATACAAGCAAGCCAAACCCCCGCGAGTCCAAATGTGCACTTCACATTTCCAAATGTCATATACAATGTCAACATTTATGATCACTATGTTTGATGTACAGTTACAAGATGACATATCATCATACCCTGGGTTGTTCTGAACAGAATGAGCCTATGTTTGTTTCTTGTGAAAAAAAATTGGTGCAGTACACACACCTGAATAAACTCATCATGACAACAAAATTATGATTGGTTTTTCTGAATTGCCTTGTGAAAGCTTAACACTGTAAGTTCGTATTTTAGAACTTAGCTAGTCATGTTGGCAATAGAACAAGCTTTCAAATTATGGCCACCGTTTTTGGATTGCGTAAACGACAACAGTAATTGAGTGATGGCGGGGATGCAGGTTTGTGTTCCAAACAAAACAACTAAAAGTGTGCTTGCTCTAGTTCCTCAACGGCACAGTTAGGAGAACTCAAGTTGAAGACTCTTAGGAACTGTGCACACTTTGGAGAGCTGTGTGGCCACTTGGAGACACCAGTTAGTCCTCTCACTCAAATCCTTGTCATTTTCTTGTCTTATGTTGCACATACCCCACATTTCCCAGAAAAAGTCTTATGTCACTGAATGTATCCAGAGTATTTTTAGATTTCGTTATCAACAAATGAGGCGAAAAGTACAGTAAATGTAAAATGTACATAAAATCAACAGTGTAATGGTTGGATTCAGTCTTGTGTCAGGTGAACTGTTGTGTACTACATTTGGCCTAATCATTTTCCCATTATCTCCAAATGTCACACCCTGGCTCTGGGGACTCTATATGTTGAGCCAGGGTGTGTAGTTTCTATGTGTTTTGTTCTATGTTCACAGTCTAGTTCTTGTATTTCTATGTTGGCCAGAGTGGTTCCCAATCAGAGGCAACGAGTGTCAGCTGTTGCTGGTTGTCTCTGATTGGGAGCCATATTTAAACAGTCTGTTTTCCCTTAGTGTTTGTGGGATCTTGTTCCTTTTGGTTTGTTCCGTGTTGGTTGTGTTTAACTGTAGGACTGCACGTATCGTTTGTTGTTTTGTTCGAGTGTTTACTCTCTTTAAATAAAGTATGTTCGCTCATCACGCTGCGCCTTGGTCCACTTCGTTCAACGATCGTGACAGAAGATCCCACCATACCAGGACCAAGCAGCGTGTCCAGGAGCAGGCAGCCTGGACATGGGAGGAAGCGCCGGGAAAGGAGCTGGAGAGGTTGGCGATGGCCCAGGTGGGCAAAGTGTGGTCCTGGGAGGACATGCTCGGGGGAAAAGGGCCATGGGCTAAGATTAAGGCCCTGGCGAGAGAGGAGCAACGGCGTCAACAGTGTCGTCGTCGGACGGACGAGAGGCAACCCCAAAAAATTTTTAGGGGGGGGGCACACGGCATGGGCGACTGGGCAGCAGGAGGCTGCCACAGGGCGAATTGGGAGGTTGGCAGAGGAGGCCGCCAGGTTACGGGGGCCACTGGTCAAAGAGGGGAAGGAAGGTGTAGAGGCACGGCGAGAGGTACTGGGGTGTGTTACCAGTCCGGTCCGGCCCGTTCCAGATCCCTGCGTAGGGCCAGTGGTGTGTGTCCCCAGTACGGTCCGGTCTGTTCCTGCTCCCCGCACGAAGGTAATGGTGCGCGTCGCCAGCCCGGCCCGGCCTGTTCCTGCTCCTCGCACCAAGCCTACGGTGCGCGTCGCCAGCCCGGCTCGGCCTGTTCCTGCTCCTCGCACCAAGCCTACGGTGCGCGTCGCCAGCCCGGCTCGGTCTGTTCCTGCTCCTCGCACCAAGCCTACGGTGCGCGTCGCCAGCCCAGCCCGGCCTGTTCCTGCTCCCCGCACCAAGCCTACGGTGCGCGTCGCCAGCCCAGCCCGGCCTGTTCCTGCTCCCCGCACCAAGCTAACGGTGCGCGTCGCCAGCCCAGCCCGGCCTGTTCCTGCTCCCCGCACCAAGCTAATGGTGTGCGGCGCCAGCCCGGCCTGTTCCTGCCACTCGCACCAAGCCTACGGTGCGCGTCGCCAGCCCGGCCCGGCCTGTTCCTGCCACTCGCACCAAGCCTACGGTGCGTGTCGCCAGCCCGGCCCGGCCTGTTCCTGCCACTCGCACCAAGCCTACGGTGCGCGTCGCCAGCCCGGCCCAGCCTGTTCCTGCCACTCGCACCAAGCCTACGGTGCGCGTCGCCAGCCCGGCCCGGCCTGGCCTGTTCCTGCCACTCGCACCAAGCCTACGGTGCGCGTCGCCAGCCCGGCCCGGACTGTTCCTGCTCCACGCACCAAGCCAGGGTTGCGAGTCGTCAGCCCGGTCTGGCCCGTTCCTGCTCCACGCACCAAGCCAGGGGTGCGAGTCGTCAGCCCGGTCCGGCCCGTTCCAGGCTCCACGCACCAAGCCAGGGGTGCGCGTCGTCAGCCCGGTCCGGCCCGTTCCTGCTCCACGCACCAAGCCAGGGGTGTGCGTCGTCAGCCCGGTCCGGCCCGTTCCTGCTCCACGCACCAAGCCAGGGGTGCGAGTCGTCAGTCCGGTCCGGCCTGTTCCTGCTCCACGCACCAAGCCAGGGGTGCGCATCGTCAGCATGGTACGGCCCGTTCCGGCTCCACGCACCAAGCCAGGGGTGCGCATCGTCAGCCCGGTCCGGCCCGTAGCTGCTCCACGCACCAAGCCAGGGGTGCGCATCGTCAGCCCGGTCCGGCCCGTTCCTGCTCCACGCACCAAGCCAGGGGTGCGCATCGTCAGCCCAGTCCGGCCCGTTGCTGCTCCACGCACCAAGCCAGGGGTGCGCATCGTCAGCCCGGTCCGGCCCGTTTCTGCTCCACGCACCAAGCCAGGGGTGTGCGTCGTCAGTCCGGCACAACCCGTGCCTGGGTCACCGGTGCCTGGTCAGGTACCGGTCAGCTGCTCCACACCGGAGCTGAAGCAATCCGCTCCTACGATGTCCAGTCCAGCTCCAGCCAGCGGGGCCAGACCGGACCAGGGGCGCTACGGGGGGATTATTGGAAGGTGGTGGGCAAGCCCGGAGCCGGAACCGCCTCCGAGGAGGAATGCCCACCCAGCCCTCCCCTGTTTGGTTTATGTGGAGGCGCGGTCGCAGTCCGCGCCTTTGGGGGGGGGGTACTGTCACACCCTGGCTCTGGGGACTCTATATGTTGAGCCAGGGTGTGTAGTTTCTATGTGTTTTGTTCTATGTTCACAGTCTAGTTCTTGTATTTCTATGTTGGCCAGAGTGGTTCCCAATCAGAGGCAACGAGTATCAGCTGTTGCTGGTTGTCTCTGATTGGGAGCCATATTTAAACAGTCTGTTTTCCCTTAGTGTTTGTGGGATCTTGTTCCTTTTGGTTTGTTCCGTGTTGGTTGTGTTTAACCGTAGGACTGCACGTATCGTTTGTTGTTTTGTTCGAGTGTTTACTCTCTTTAAATAAAGTATGTTCGCTCATCACGCTGCGCCTTGGTCCACTTCGTTCAACGATCGTGACACCAAACTTCAATTCAATTGCTATGCAATTGGTTATGCTTTTCATATTTATTCTGTAAGAAACATTTCAATTTACCCCTATCCATATAGGCCAATTCCCACGAGTGTATAGGGTTAATTTCTCAGAGATCAAATTATATTTCAACAAAATAATGTTGCAGGAATGCTAATCTTATTTATTTATAACTACAGAAGCGATTTCAGAACAATCTGAGATTCTGGGTGTCATGGCTTGCTGAAATGGCATGGAACGACCCTAAAGCAAAATACAAACCTCTACCCTCAATGAATTTCATTCATTCATCCATTCTTTCCGATTACGGTAGCGTTTACTTTTTTACAGTATAATACAGTAAATTGTATGGTATTGTACTGTGTCTCATTACCAAGTATATTACAGTAGGTGTACTGTTATATGACATTTTACTTGCAACTGAGCTGCCTGTAAGTTACAGTCAAATTCAAGAGGATCTGATCCTGTCATACCCTGATAGAGAGAGAGAGAGAGAGAGAGAGAGAGAGAGAGATAGAAAGAGAGCGAGAGAGAGAGAGAAAGAGAGCGAGAGAGAGAGAGAGAGAGAGAGAGAGAAGAAAAGAGAGAAATATGTTGTTCTTTACCTTCCATGGAGGGGGAGATGGGCCAGTGTTGGCGAGGAGAGGGGACGGGAGGAAGGCGAGGTTCTCCTCTGAGCAGCCCAATTTTCTTCCCAGAAGGCTTTGAAGTGGCGTAGACCACACGAATGTGCTGCGAGCGCTCCCGGTCCCGGCCACTGAGGAACTCTGGTAGATCATTGACCTGGAAAGCAGTGACAGAAGTGATCAGAGAAGTGATCACTCATTAAAACTTTGTTTAAGCATTTATGTTTCTGTAAGGTCCTTGGGAGCTGTGATGACATGCGAGGACAGTAGGCTACATCTGAATCTGAATCAGTCTGTGAATCTGAACCAGTCTGTGAATCTGAACTGTCTCTAGGGAAAGTATATGAGGACACTATTTGGGAACAATATCTGGAGACAGTATAGGGACAGTCTCCCAGCTGCACTTGCTTACTGAAGCTATGCTCCTCTTGGCTCTGCCACAGGAAACAGCTTACTATGATTACTGACTGACTGTCACACACACACACACACACACAAGGAAACACACACACCCACACACAAAAACACATGGGCATGCACACGCACACTCTATCTCTCTTTTTCTGTACTGGGAGACTATACTGGGAGAAAGGGGCAGGGTACGCTAAATCGAACAGCATTGCCTGTAGACGGGATAAACTGGTAAACTGGAAACAGTGACATAAGGTGATAATGCCCTGGTAGTAACACTAATTTACCACCCTTATATCATTTCCAGCTTATTTTGTGCCTACAGTCACTAAAAGTACAGCGCCCAGAGTTTTTTTCTGATGAAGTGCTATGGTGAGGAAAAACTCCTGGCACTAACCCTTGACCTATAACCTAGATGTTGTCTATTATTGTATTATTTTCCAATTTCCATGTGCTTCTGCTCTCTCCCACATGTTTACACATTAGTCACACATTTTTATAGCACAACACCTCTCCTTGATAAAAATATTTTGAAGCTAAGGGCCAATGTTCTCTAGCCTGAGGGCTATAAACGCAAATGTTTGGCATGACAATGGGCGAGTTCATTTTGCATTGCCCGGTGCCCCAGCTGTGCGGAGTTTGATCATTTAAAATCATTCTATTGGTCCTGAAGTGTAATCTCCCCCCTCTGGGCACAATGCAAAACGATCTCGCCCAATGAGTGATAAGGATTTGGAATAATACCACAAAACAGACTGCTACTCAGGCTACATTGCTGTCTAATATGATCTGATCCTCACACTGTGTGGTAGTGAGGTCCTTTCGGGTCTCCTCAGCCTGTGTTCATGGTTATCACGCTTGCCTCTGTCCAGGCTATCAATAGGTCAGGCTATCAGAGCCACCGTGTCTGCCATAAGCAGTTAAATAGCGCTTAACATGACAGGATCAGCAGCACAGCGTCCTGTCACTATACTTAGCCCAGGCCCAGGCTGGTAGGGAGGACAGACAGGACCGGACACTAATTACACAAAGGTCAAACAGAGAAATAACAGCGAGTTAGAGAATGTGTCAAATGACATACATTATGTTCAGTATATAATCAGGAATCAGGAATAACTCCTGTGTGTGTGTGTGTGTGTGTGTGTGTGTGTGTGTGTGTGTGTGTGTGTGTGTGTGTGTGTGTGTGTTTGTGCGTGTGTGTGTGCGTGCATGTGCTGTGAGACCCCCATCTGAATATTCCATTAGTGAGGATGTGTGTGTGTGTGTGTGTGATCAAACAAGTCAAGTCAAACAAGAATGGTTTGTCATTTGGCCAATAAAAATAGATATTATGCATAAAGGCAAGTCGTACAAGTCACTAAAGTTTTTAATGTTTTCATTACACTATATTCCAACATTGCATTTATGTCCCAACACTATCATAACTCTAGCCCAGTCTCTAGACAGTCCTTACCAGCTCGATGTCTCGGATGTGCCTGAAGTCGACCGCTGTTGTGAGGGTGCGCGGCGGGTACTCGGCCAGGTACACGCACTCATCACTGAGAACTACATGCATGAACACCTTATTCACCCTCTCCGAGACAACCACGCATGGTTCATAGGCGCGGATCCGCTCATACACCCCGCGCTCGGTGTTCCTCTTGAGAAAGGAGTCTAGTTTACAGTTGCGCCTGCACTGCAAGCCTCCTGCGCCCGTCATAGCCATGGGCATATTGGGCACGGCCCGGGCACCAACCGAGCTCACCTGCCACTGGCATCAGAGAAACACGAACAGAGAGAAGAGACGCGCTTTCCTTGATCTGTGTTCACTAGAGTTTTAGACCTACTTCCACTCTCTGTGAGTTGCGATAGCAATGCTACACACCACGGGATAAAGTAACCTAGGTGATATTACATCCATGGTTTGATCGTTAAGAAAGCGTCGCTTGCATACCGCCGGAGCGCTCTTCATCCTGAGTTGTTCTAGGCTTCATTTATAAAGCCCTTCGCTGATTGGTTGACAGCCTGCCACCTCTGTCCTACCTACGTTACTGTATTTAGAGCTCAGTGTAGCCGCAGCGGCCCTCAGGTATAATGTTACCTCACAGGGAAGAGGGACAGGAGGGCATTGGCCCCGCTATTGACATCAGTGCATTTACAGGTACGTGAGAGCGAAAGTTAGGACTCCTTCCTATGGTTAATTGATTATTGTGGTCATATAGCGCCACCTAACGGATAGAATAATGGTTTTCATCGAGAAGAGAAATATGGTGGGTGAGTGACAGTGTGAACAAACAGGTGGCAGAAAGAGAATTCATTAGTTGTCATTTGAGAAAGGGCAGATTTGACTTTATTTGCATAGTAGTGAATAGTAGTTGAAAAAATTGCGCCCAGACCACACTCCCTAGACAGCCCAACTTCAGCAGGAAGAGGACGGAGATGAGAGTGGCGAGCGATGTGAGGAGGTCATCGAGTTCCGTGAATCCCGTGACGATGACCAGACTCAGGGTGATGGCACCCACCAGACCGCAGACGGCCACCCAGTACTCCCACTTCCCCAGATGCAGGTAGAGGACGGGTTGGGCTGCAGCAGGGTAGCGCTCCACACACATGCAGGCCAGGAGGTTTGGCCAGCCCACCAGGTTGAGGAGGGTGATGGCTTCACCTGCAGAAAAAGAGGGTCCCTGGGCGGCTGATGAAGTTGGTGTAGATGGGTATGGGCTTTCACGAGCAGGTAGAGCAGGTCCAGAAGAGCCAGGTTCAGACCCCGAATCTGAGACAGTTACAGGTGTTAGTCAACTAGCACCACACAATCACAGTACACAGGTTAGTCATTGAGAACCTGAGAGTCACAGTACACGATTTAGTAATCTATAACCTACTACAGAGCCATATACGACAAGCGCATCAATCTGGGAAAGGTAAAACCATATAAATATAATCTATTTAGAATCTATTTCTATGGGTAAAACAACATGATCATCACAAGTAAAACCTTCAAAACCTTCAAAAAAAGTTAGTGCAAAACTAAGTACCAGGTGACGCAGAGAGACTGGGACGGTAGACAGACAGACCTTAGATGCAGACAAAGCCTTCCCTCCCTTCAGCTGCAGCCACAGCAGAGCAGCGTTGGCTAGAAGACCAGTCAACATGATGACAATCTCAACCACCATCCATATGTTCTCTGAGGTCAAAAAATGTCATTCCTATCGGATCCTATCTAGTCGTTCCTCTTCGGTTGTAGTTGAGATTTTTTTATTTAACCTTTATTTAATTAGGCAAGTCCGTTAAGAACAAATTCATATTTACAATGACGGCCTACACCGGCCAAACCCGGACGACGCTGGGCCAATTGTGCGCCGCCCTATGGGACCCCCAGTCACGGCCGGTTGTGATACAGCCTGGAATCAAACCAGGGGATCTGTAGTGATGCCTCAAGCACTGTGCAGTGCCTTAGACCACTGTGCCACTCGGGATAGTTGGAGTAATAGAAGAGTTGAGGCTAGTTTGCCAGGAAAAAACTGTAGCTTCAAGCATCATTGTGCCAATCCTCCTGCTCTCAGTGGCTGAACACCTCTCAGTAGCTTAGAGTCTCTCTCTCTCTCTCTCTCTCTCTCTCTCTCTCTCTCTCTCTCTCTCTCTCTCTCTCTCTCTCTCTCTCTCTCAAGCCTCCTTTCTTCTCTATCTGGTGGGTGCTGCTACACATCGGCAGTGGGGGAGTTCTACCCATGGAGTCTTCAGAGACTACTACTGAGACGGCAAGGGCCAGGGTGCCCTGATAAATAGCTCTGGACCAGTCTGAAACCCCCTGGATGTGACCCCCCTCCATTTCATCTCCGAACTACCTCTACTCTAGCTTTCCTCCTGGCGGCGCTGACTGCTCAAACCATGAATGAACTACCCTGCCTGCCATAATCGTCCATGAACTATTTGTTTTTCAAAATTGCATTAGCATGTCTTATTTTGTTGTTGCTTAAAGCGCTTTGAGATTGTAATGAAAAGCGCTATTAAAGTGTAATAAATTATTATTCTTTTCTCACTTCTATCTCTTCATCTCCTGCAGAGGCTTCACAGGTCTATCACTCCTCTCTACCACTGGCCAGAATTCTAAGGTGTGTATAGCCTAATGGACATTACCAGTCAAAAGTTTGGACACACCTACTCATTCAAGGGTTTTTCTTTATTTTTACTATTTTCTACATTGTAGAATAATAGTGAAGACATCAAAACTATGAAATAACACATATGGAATCATGTAGTAAGCAGTCCATCATTACTTTAAGACATGACAGTCAGTCAATACGGAACATTTCAAGAACTTTGAAAGTTTCTTCAAGTGCAGTCACAAAAACCATCAAGCGCTATATGAAACTGGTTCTCATTAGGACCGCCACGGGAAAGGAAGACCCAGAGTTACCTCTGCTGCAGAGGATAAGTTCATTAGAGTTAACTGCACCTCAGATTGCAGCCCAAATAAATGCTTCACAGAGTTCAAGTAACAGACACATCTCAACATCAACGGTTCATAGTAGACTGTGTGAATCAGGCCTTCATAGTCAAATTGCTGCAAAGAAACCACTACTAAAGGACACCAATAAGAGGAAGAGACTTGCTTGGGCCAAGAAACATGAGCAATGGAAATTAGACCGGCGGAAATCTGTCCTTTGGTCTGATGAGTCCAAATTTGAGATTTTTGGTTCCAATTGCCATGTCTTTGTGAGAGGTAGAGTAGGTGAACGGATGATCCCCGCATGTGTGGTTCCCACCATGAAGCATGGAGGAGGAGGTGTTGGGTGTGGGGGTGCTTCGCTAGTGACACTGTCTGTGATTTATTTAGAATTCAAGGCACACTTAACCAGCATGGCTACCACAGCATTCTGCAGCGATACGCCATCCCATCTGGTTTGCGCTTAGTGTGACTATCATTTGTTTTTCAACAGGACAATGACCCAAAACACACCTCCAGGCTGTGTAAGGGCTATTAACCAAGAAGGAAAGTGATGGAGTGCTGCATCAGATGACCTGGCCTCCACAATCACCTGACCTCAATCCAATTGAGATGGTTTGGGATGAGTTGGACCGCAGAGTGAAGGAAAAGCAGCCAACAAGTGCTCAGCATATGTGGGAACTCCTTCAAGACTGTTGGAAAAGCATTCCTCATGAAGCTGGTTGAGAGAATGGCAAGAGTGTGCAAAGCTGTCATCAAGGCAAAGGGTGGTTATTTGAAGAATCTCAAATATAAAATATATTTTGATTTGTTCAACACTTCTTTGCTTACTACATGATTCCAAATGTGTTATTTCATAGTTTTGATGTCTTCACTATTATTCTACAATGTAGAAAATAGTAAAAATAAAGAAAACCCCTTGAATGAGTAGGTGTGTCAATCTTTTTACTGGTACTGTATCTCCTGAGCGACACACACACACACACATACACACACAGAACATTAGTGTTGATTAACAGAAACCAAATGAGCAGGTTTGTGATTTTTCCATGCTTCAATGCAAATAGTAAACCAAACTTTGTCCTGTCTCTCATGCTTCATAGGTAGATTGAGATATAGCATTTGCCTGTTGGAGACATTTTAAAGTAAACTCTACCTGTCGTTAAGGCTACCATCTACAGTCGTGGTCAAAAGTTTTGAGAATGACACAAATACTAATTTTCACAAAGTCTGCTGCCTCAGTTTTGATGATGGCAATTTGCATATACTCCAGAATGTCACGAAGAGTGATCAGATGAATTGCAATTAATTGCAAAGAAAATTAACTTAATCCCATAAAAACATTTCCACTGCACTTCAGCCCTGCCACAAAAGGACCAGCTGCCATCATGTCAGTGATTCTCTCGTTAACACAGGTGAGAGTGTTGACGAGGACAAGGCTGGAGATCACTCTGTCATGCTGACTGAGTTAGAATAACAGACTGGAAGCTTTAAAAGGAGGGTGGTGCTTTAAATCATTGTTCTTCCTCTGTTAACCATGGTTACCTGCAAGGAAACACGTGCCGTCATCATTGTTTTGCACAAAAAGGGCTTCACAGGCAAGGATATTGCTGCTAGTAAGTTTGCACCTAAATCAACCATTTATCAGATCATCAAGAACTTCAAGGAGAGAGGTTCAATTGTTGTGAAGAAGGCGTCAGGGCACCCAAGAATGTCCAGCAAGCGCCAGGACCGTCTCCTAAAGTTGATTCAGCTGCGGGATCGGGGCACCACCAGTGCAGAGCTTGCTCAGGAATGGCAGCAGGCAGGTGTGAGTGCATCTGCACGCACAGTGAGGCGAAGACTTTTGGAGGATGGCCTGGTGTCAAGAATGGCAGCAAAGAAGCCACTTCTCTCCAGGAAAAACATCAGGGACAGACTGATATTCTGCAAAAGGTACAGGGATTGGACTGCTGAGGACTGGGGTAAAGTCATTTTCTCTGATGAATCCCCTTTCCGATTGTTTGGGGCATCCGGAAAACACATTTTCCGGCGAAGACAAGGTGAGCGCTACCATCAGTCCTGTGTCATGCCAACAGTAAAGCATCCTGAGACCATTCATGTGTGGGGTTGCTTCTCAGCCAAGGGAGTGGGCTCACTCACAATTTTGCCTAAGAACACAGCCATGAATAAAGAATGGTACCAACACATCCTCCGAGAGCAACTTCTCCCAACCATCCAAGAACAGTTTGGTGATGACCAATGACTTTTCCAGCATGATGGAGCACCTTGCCATAAGGCAAAAGTGATAACTAAGTGGCTCGGGGAACAAAACATCAACATTTTGGGTCCATGGCCAGGAAACTCCCCAGACCTTAATCCCATTGAGAACTTGTGGTCGATCCTCAAGAGGCAGGTGGACAAACAAAAACCCACAAATTCTGACAAACTCCAAGCATTGATTATGCAAGAATGGGCTGCCATCAGTCAGGATGTGGCCCAGAAGTTAATTGACAGCATGCCAGGGCGGATTGCATAGGTCTTGAAAAAGAAGGATCAACACTGCAAATATTGACTCTTTGCTTAAACTTAATGTAATTGTCAATAAAAGCCTTTGACACTTATGGAATGCTTGTAATTATACTTCAGTATACCATAGTAACATCTGACAAAAATATCTCATAACACTGAGGCAGCGAACTTTGTGAAGACCAATACCAAACCTGCTCATGTGCCTTCCAAATCAGCTACCTTAGCCAGACAGAGATGTTTGAGTGTGAGGTTCAAACTACATACTTTAGCTTAAATCCAACATAGTTTTTTTGATAGTTGTAATATCTATGTTTATAATCTCCCTTTGTCTTTATTGACCTATTGATGGATATAGCTACTGTTCACATTTCACCCATCATTATACAGAATATTGTTCAGAACATCGTTTCTCAAACTATGTCCTGGGGACCCCAAGGAGTGCACATTTTGTTTTTTGGCCTAGCACTACACAGCTGATTCCTACAATCAATTCATCATCAAGCTTTGATTATCTGAATCAGCTGTGTGTGGTGCTAGGGCAAAAACCAAAACATGCACACTTTGGGGTCCCCAGGACAGAGTGAAACGCTGGTTCAGAGCATGTCAGCGTTTCCTATGGGGGTGATCGGCTGTGAAAGGTCTCCCCCTGCTGGAGAGCGCAGAGATGACAGTTGATGGCTACGGCACATTGCTACGGAAATAGGGGTCATGTGGAGACAAAAATACTCTCAGAACATTACATTCAACTAAACAAAAATCTCTTTAATCAGTTTTTAAGTAGAAACCATTTTTTCATACAAACATATTGTGGGAATAATCAGTTAATGGTTCTTACAATTGCTATTGCCAGCCTGTCAGTAAAATCCATAAAGTGAGGTTAGTTGGTGTGACTGTTCCAAGTCTCCTACCACTGTAGAAAAACCCACGACAAAGACTTCAACAACAGGAAAGGAGCTCTCCAAAGTTTTAGTCCAAAGCCTTAGAACAAATGGGGGAAAATAATGGATGAACTTTGCTGAAATGCCTTCTGATATCATTAAAGGTCTTGAACAGTCGTTCTGATTCCCATGTAAAATAGCCTTTGGAGTGACAAAAATATCACCCATTATATTATTTTGGGATAGAAATGCTAACATTTTTGGAAAATTATATAATTTCTCTCACGGCTAACTACCAGGAAGTTTGAAAAGACAGACTGAGTGGGCGGGGAGCTTATATTCATGAGCTCGCCTTGACTGAGAGCTCTTTGAAATGCCTATGTCAAGAAACTTGGATGCAATGAGCAGTATTGCAGTAAAATCATCTCAAGCAAATTTGGTGATACACAAAGCAACTCAACCAACATTGAAATCGCATCAATTATATATATATTTTTGATATATATATATATATATATATATATATACATCTCCTGTTTGGAATGTCTCTGGTGCTGCGGTTCACAGCAGCACTGACTGATGTGTTGACGTCAAAGTTTTGAACGACTGTTCCTCCACTTTAGTTCTACGCTGGCTGAAGACCTAGCTGGCCAGTGACTTGCTAACACCAGTAGAGTAGCTATCTAGCTATATAAACCACACCCGTCTGCAAACACGCCTTCTCCAATGTTGGTTACAAGGCGGTACTTATTTAAATTAGGTAAAAGAGTATTATGTTACCATTGGTGTATTAAAATGAGAGTGTTAGGGTGATGTCACCCTATCCCCTTCATAATCCTGCCTCCCGAATCCAATTGTTTGATACGGGGGAGGGGACCAGTAACTTTATGATCAAACTTAATCAATGTAGAAGAAACAGTAATTTTTCATAATTTGGTCATCATTCTTTGATCTGGTTTCATCCAAATATCATCCAATTTCATGAAAAACATGATTTTGACTGTTCATGACCTTTAAGAATAATATATTATACACCCATACATGGTTTTGGGGACGATTTCTGTATCCACTTTCCTTAGCTAAGTCCATTCTCTTCTTTGGTCGGTTTGCGACTTTGGCGACCACCACCAAACAACATCTCAAAGTCTTCAGTCAGTGACATCAACAAGTAGACTTCAGCTAAATGTGTCCTGATAGGCCCGGTCTGAGGGTGGCTTTGACTAATAGGAAGTAAGCTCTTGTGAAAATGTAGGACACCACAAAATGACCAAAAGTCTTGACAGGAGACACAGAGAGAATGGTAGAGATACAAAAACCTCCTCTGGAGTGTAGAGATACACTAGAAACAGTAGAAAGGTGAGGAGTCAGAAAGTGCTGGAAAAGACCCTCTGGTCTGTCTGTCTGTCCGTATAATACAGTATGTACAGTAACACGTGTCCCATCTATCCATCCTTGCAGTAGTAGAAGCATCTCGCTCACAGGGGTCTGAGGGCTGATCTCAAATCACAAATCACACCTTATTCCCTATGTAGTGCACTACTTTTGACCAAAGCTTGTATAAGGTTAGCTGCATAGGGCTCTGCTCAAAAGTAGTGCACTTATTAGGGAAGAGTGTGTTATTTGATCTTTCCTCCTTGACCCTTGACCTCCAGAGAGGGAGAGAGAGAGGGGACAGTAACAGTTCAATGGGAGTGCATTTGCCATGGAACTCGCTGGGGGGTGGAGTTGTGGATAGGATACTGCGGGGTAGGGTATGGGGGCATATGGTGTGGCTGGGAGGGAGCACCTCCAGGGCTGCAGGTAGAGTTGGAGGGCATGTTGTGGAGGTAGACAGGGGCCGTAGGGGCCGTAGGGGCGGTGGGGGTGGGGACTCTCTGGAGCACCACGTGGGGGTAGATCATCTGACTCTCCGCCCGGAACAGACCAGGTAGAGGGGCCTTCAGTAGGCTCTCCTGACTCCTAGAGCGAGATAGAGAGAGAGACCTTAGAATCAGTGGAAACAACATTTATCTACAAACCAATATATTAGATGTCTATAAAAGGTACATACAGTAGCAGGGTTCTATTGATATTTACAGCCCATTTAGGTTCATACAGTAGATCTCAGCTTCTCACCTCTGGTATCCTGCGGTTGTCGAAGCCAGCCATGCCCCCCAGGTAAACAGGGCTCTCTGCAGCCAGCCGGAGGTCCGGCTGCTGGGACAGGTGGAAGATCTTAGGAGGGGGGAAGGTGTCACAGTCCCCCTCCTCTCTCTCCAGCCAGCACTCACTACGCCGAGAAGGCCGCGTGTCTCTACGCCTGGAGAGAGGTGGTTATTATCATCTCCATCAATATCACCTCTGTCTCCTCTTTCCGGAATAGTTTCGAAATGTGTGTGTGTGTGTGTGTGTGTGTGTTTTCTTAGATACCAAATATGCCAGATATTGTTGTTGTGGGGGGAGGCCAGAGGGAGGTGCTCATTTTGAAAGTGGGTTGCTCTTTTGACTCCTACATGGAGCAGGCCTTGGTTGACAAGTTGCTGGAATACCAGCCCTTCATGTCATCCCTGAACAGCCTTGGTTATCAGTGCAAACTTGTAGTGCTGATATTTGAGAGTCTCGGCCAGGCTGACAGTACGTGACTTGAGATTGCAGGCCTGCATCGCATAAAGGCAAAGCATCTAGCGAGGTACTGCTCTGTGTCAGCGGTCATGGGCAGCCTTGCTGTATGGATAAGAAGGTGCTTTCTGTACCCATAAGTGTCCATTAATTATATCCATGACCTATGAAGTGTTTGAATCCTTCTCAAATGTAATGTGATATGTGGATTAAAATGAAGTATTTAAAATGTGTGTGTGTGTGTGTGTGTGTGCTTGCTTGCGTCTGTGAATGCGTGTGGGTGTGTGTTTGTGTGTACCTGCTCCTGACGTCCCTCCTGGTGCCCCTGTCCTTCCCAGTGCGTTCCTGCAGGCAGCAGATGATGAAGGAGAGAGACATGGCCAGGATGACGATGCCACTGACCACAGAGGCCAACACGGCCACACGAAGACCCCGGTCCTCTGGCCTCGGGATGGCTGAGGGGAGGGCAGATCAAGGGCAAGTCAATTCAGTTCAGTACTGAGTCTGTGCCAAATTACTTTCACCTATCATGCCACTTCAGATATATTTTTAAAGATCTGTGATCACTGCAGGGGTGGGAGCTAGGAGTAGGGAGCTAGGAAAGGAGGGTAGGAGCTAGCAGAAATGGGCACAAAATAGGAGAAGAGGCTGGGAGCTAAAGGGCTAGCTAGGGATTGGACCATCTGTGTTGTCTCACCCTCACAGACTGGCAGGAAGTTGCTCCACTGGGGTTTGCCTGCCCGGACTCTGCAGGAGATCTTATCACTGCCCACCAGCTGGTAGCCCTCCTTGCACCAGAAGGCCAGCACTGTACCCACCGACACCCCAGTCCCATGCTCCACATAGAAGGACCCGCGCCTCGGGGGCAGCACGGACACACACACCAGACCTGGGGAGAGGGGGAGATAGAGAGTGAATATGATAATTACAACAGCAGAACAAGAGGAAGGGTTTAGAATATTTGGATTCTAAATTATTACTGATATTCATATCTAGCATAAGGTGTAAACTCTCAAGAGGTGTTAAATCTAATGCTCTCAGAGTAAATTTAACAAATTTTAATTTGCTGTTCATAGAAAGAGGGCAGAGAGGGGAAGAGATTGAGGAAAATAGATGTTTAAAGGAGGTAATTCTCTGTAAATGCACAATAGAACCCACAGAGTGTTCTTCAATGGAAGCTCCTCTAACATCATATATGTATAGTGCGGTGTCCCTCAGGGCAGTTGCCTTGGGCCAATACTCTTCTCTATTTTTACAAAAGATTTGCCACTGGTCTTACATGAAGCTAGAATGACTATACATGCGGATGATTCCACACTCTTCATGTCAGCACCCAAAGCCAGTGATCTCACTGGAATTCGAAATAAGGAGTTACAGTCAGTATCAGAATGGGTGAACGCTGGTCTGACCCATCGGAATCCACGCTTCAAAATTGTTTTGATCACGCGGACTGGGATATGTTCCAGGTAGCCTCTGAGAATAACATAGACGTATATACGCTGATTCAGTGAATGGGTTTATAAGGAAGTGTATAGGAGATGTTGTACTCACTGTGACTATTAAAACCTACCCTAACCAGAAACCGTGGATAGATGGCAGCGTTCGCGAAAAACTAAAAGCACGAACCACCGCATTTAACCATGGCAAGGTGACGGGGAATATGGCAGAATACAAACAGAGTGGTCGTTCCCTCCGCAAGGCAATCAAACAGGCAAAACGTCAATATCGAGACAAAGTAGAGTCACAATTCAACGGCTCAGACACGAGACGTATGTGGCAGGGTTTACAGACAATCACGGACTACAACAGGAAAACCAGCCACGTCGCGGACACCGACGGCTTGCTGCCAGATAAGCTAAACAAGTTATTTTCCCACTTTGAGGATAACACAGTGCCACCGACGTGGTCAGCTACCAAGAACAGTGGGCTCTCCTTCTCTCCATTGTACCCTCCAAGCTCATCATTAAGCTTGAGGACCTGGGTCTCAACCCCGCCCAGTGTAATTGGGTCCTGGACTTCCTGACGGGCCGCCCCCAGGTGGTGTAGGTAGGAAACAACATCTCCACTTCACTGATCCTCAACACTGGGGCCCCACAATGGTGTGTGCTCAGCCCCCTCCTGTACTCCCTGTTCACCCATGACTGCGTAGCCATGCATGCCTTCAACTCAAGCATCAAGTTTGCAGACGACACAACAGTAGTAGGCTTGATTACCAACAACGATGAGACAGCCTACAGGGAGGAGGTGAGGGCTCTCGGAGTGTGTTGTCAGGAAAATAACCTCTCACTCAACATAAACAAAACAAAGGAGATGATCGTGGACTTCAGGAAACAGCAGAGGGAGTACCCCCCTATCCACATCGACGGGACAGCAGTGGAGAAGGTGGAAAGTTTTAAGTTCCTCTGCATACATATCACTGACAAACTGAAATGGTCCACCCACACAGACAGTGTGGTGAAGAAAGCGCAACAGCGTCTCTTCAACCTCAGGAGGCTGAAGAAATGTGGCCTGTCACCTAAAACCCTCACAAACTTTTACAGATGCACAATTGAGAGCATCCTGTCGGGCTGTATCACCGCCTAGTACGGCAACTGCACTCCCCACAACCGCAGGGCTCTCCAGAGGGTGGTGCGGTCTGCACAACGCATCACAGGGGGCAAACTAACTGCCCTCCAGGACACCTACAGCATCCGATGTCACAGGAAGGCCCAAAAAATAATCAAGGACAACTACCACCCGAGCCACTGCCTGTTCACCCCGCTATCATCCAGAAGGCGAGGTCAGTACAGGTGCATCAAAGCTGGGACCGAGAGACTGAAAAACAGCTTCTATCTCAAGGCCATCAGACTGTTAAACAGCCATCACTAGCACAGAGGCGCTGCTGCCTACATGCAGACTTGATAATGCTTACATATCTTGCATTACTCGTCTCATATGTATATACTGTATTCTAAAGTATCGTAATAATGTTTACATATCTTGCAATACCCATCTCATATGTACAGTTGAATTCGGAAGTTTACATACACCTTAGCCAAATACATTTAAACTTAGTTTTTCACAATTCCTGACATTTAATCCTAGTAAAAATTCCCTGTCTTAGGTCAGTTAGGATCACCACTTTATTTTAAGAATGTGAAATGTCAGAATAATAGTAGAGAGAATGATTTATTTCCATTTGTATTTCTTTCATCACATTCCCAGTGGGTCAGAAGTTTACATACACTCAATTAGTATTTGGTAGCATTGCCTTTAAATTGTTTAACTTCGGTCAAACGTTTCGGGTAGCCTGCCACAAGCTTCCCACAATAAGTTGGGTGAATTTTGGCCCATTCCTCCTGACAGAGCTGGTGTAACTGAGTCAGGTTTGTAGGCCTCCTTGCTCGCACATGCTTTTTCAGTTCTGCCCACACATTTTCTATAGGATTGAGGTCAGGGCTTTGTGATGGCCACACCAATACCTTGACTTTGTTGTCCTTAAGCCATTTTGCCACAACTTTGGAAGTATGCTTGGGGTCATTGTCCATTTGGAAGACCCATTTGCGACCAAGCTTAAACTTCCTGACTGATGTCTTGAGATGTTGCTTCAATATATCCACATACTTTTCCTTCTTCATGATGCCATCTATTTTGTGAAGTGCACCAGTCCCTCCTGCAGCAAAGCACCCCCACAACATGATGGTCACGGTTGGGATGGTGTTCTTCGGCTTGCAAGCGTCCCCCTTTTTCCTCCAAACATAATGATGGTCATTATGGCCAAACAGTTCTATCAGACCAGAGGACATTTCTCCAAAAGGTACGATCTTTGTCCCCATGTGCAGTTGCAAACCGTAGTCGTGCTTTTTTATGGTGGTTTTGGAGCAGTGGCTTCTTCCTTGCTGAGCGGCCTTTCAGGTTATGTCGATATAGGACTTGTTTTACTGTGGATATAGATACTTTTGTACCTGTTTCCTCCAGCATCTTCACAAGGCCCTTTGCTGTTGTTCTGGGATTGATTTGCGCACCAAAGTACGTTCATCTCTAGGAGACAGAACGCATCTCCTTCCTGAGCGGTATGACAGTTGCGTGGTCCCATGGTGTTTATACTTGCGTACTATTGTTTGTACAGATGAACGTGGTACCTTCAGGCATTTGGAAATTGCTCCCAAGGATGAACCAGACTTGTGGAGGTCTACCATTTTTTTTCTGAGGTCTTGGCTGATTTCTTTTGATTTTCCCATGATGTCAAGCAAAGAGGCACTGAGTTTGAAGGTAGGTCTTGAAATACATCCACAGGTACACCTCCAATTGACAGCAAATGATGTCAATTAGCCTATCAGAAGCTTCTAAAGCCATGACATCATTTTCTGGAATTTTCCAAGCTGTTTAAAGGCACAGTCAACTTAGTGTATGTAAACTTCTGACCCACTGGAATTGTGATACATTGAATTACAAGTGAAATAATCTGTCTGTAAACAATTGTTGGAAAAATTACTTGTGTCATGCACAAAGTAGATGTCCTAACTGACTTGCCAAAACTATAGTTTGTTAACAAGAAATGTGTAGAGTGGTTGAAAAACGAGTTTGAATTACTCCAACCTAAGTATATGTAAAATACAATACCCAAGACAAGGAGGGATCTTTTTGTGTCAGTAAAATTAATTATGCGAGAAATGGCGGTGGAAACGCCTTTATGCGCAAATATTGATATAATAACCATCATATCGAAGTAAATTTGGAGTCACGCGATGATATGTTGTGTGGTCCTCCCACTATGACTCGGGGAAAGCATGCAGTTTATTAGGCTACAGATAAAATAAATTATGATGAACTTCACAGGGTGGTGAAAGTGCAAGGTGATGAGCTTGATGTTCCTTTCCAATAAATATCGAGGGTCTTATTCTGGTGACATGATGATCGATGCTTGGCTGCCGTTTCACAAATACAAATAATCTCGCTCTTCTGTCCATAATAATCTCATCATGTAGTAGGCTGTATCTGCGAGCTGTATCTGCGAGCTATTGACTAAAACGCATGTGCCAAGATCACAGTCGGCACATTCGCTGTATAACGCACATTTTTGAAAATGCGATGGAAACCCATTGAAATAATATTTTTTATTCGGTACATGGGAATTTTATGGCAAAACGTTAGTTTTATGTGCGCTACTTCATCACGCACAACCTTTTATCCGCAACAAGTCAATTTGATGGAAACCCATCTCTTGTGGGAAAATGCGCATGTTGTTTTTATGCGGATTTTAGAATATTTGCAAGAAAATCTGTAACCAATGAGATGAAAACTTAGCTAGTGTATCAGTGTTTTGCAACTTGTCATGTTTTATGTTTTTTTGTGGACCCCATGAAGAAAAGTTGCTGTTTCGGCAAAAGCTAATGGAGATCCTAATGAACAAAAAACAATCGATCCAGCAGAGAGCCGTACTGATGTTGAGTTGTAATGTTATGTTATTTCTGTGTTGTGATGTTATTAGTGCTCTAAGAGAGAGAGAGAGAGAGAGAGAGAGAGAGAGAAGAGAGAGAGAGACAGATGGGAAACTAGAGAGAGAGAGAGAGAGAGAGAGAGAGAGAGAGAGAGCTAGCTAGCCACGAGGGGATGAAGGATGTTGATACTACTGCACTAGGGCTTTACTCTCTCGCTCTCTTTTCCCAAACACACACACACACACACACACACACACACACACACACACACACACAAACTGCATAGAAGCCAAGACAGACACACATGAAAACATGTGAATAACAATATGACAGACATGCGCACAGTGTCCACAGCAGTTAATTTTCCCTATTGAGTCCAACATAGGACTAAATCTGCATCATCATGCAGCATCTGCTTGCATATATTCATGCCTTGATACACACAAACACACAGACACAGAAACACACACACACACACAAAATCATGCACACGCATATTCACTAGCCGAGCTTAGACCTGAGTCATCATAGAGGAGTTTAATCAGGAATGCAGCCCCTGAGGCATCCAACACACACACACGTGACAGACCAGTATTGAACCCGGGTTGTCTGCACAACTAAAGACTGTGTTAGCCAACTGAGCTGAAGTCTATATCAGTATGTCTACAGCTCAATGTGTTATTGGGATGTTCCCTGCGCAGCTCAGAAAATACCCCTTCCACTTTAATATCTTGTGGAGTGGACTTTGGACTGCCATTAGAGTATTTCTATTGTTGTGTTAGACTGCTGGGTTTGGCTACTGGGTCAATGTTGGGTCTGTCTCATTCTGATCAGCTTATCTCCAGTGGGCCGCCATTCACAGGGCTTAGCTGGTATGGCAATACTGTGGGCTGCCAGCAACCAACCTGGCAACCTGACTCTCACAACATAACAACTGCCTCATTCTTCTCTCTTCTTGATGTTCCCTCTATCCCTCTCTCCCTCTCTCTTTCTCCCCCTCAGGGTCCTGACAGATAGGCGCTCAGAATAGTGCCTGATTAAATAAAGATTAGGCCCTCCATTAAAGATTCATCCACACACAAAAACACTCACACTCACACTCTCTCACACACACACGCAAACGCACACACACACACACACACACACACACCACACACACACCCACACCCCACACACACAACACAACACACACACAACCACAACCACACACACACATACACAACACACCACACCCCCAC